CTCACACTGCTAACCAACAGGCTGAACTAATAGCTCTCACCTGTGCCTTCCAGTTGTCACAGGGACAATCCCTAAATGTTTACACAGACTCTAAATATGCATTTCATATCCTCCTGTCCCACACTGCTGTCTAGAAAGAGCGTGAGCTTCTTACACCAACACATAACAACCCACATCCTCACAGCCACCCCCTGTCACTCGGCAAATTCTGTCCTATGTACACCAGCTCTTTCATCCTAATTGTCATGCTCTGTCTCATTTTATCAAGGCCCACCTGCATCCCACCCCTAAAGACTTGCATTTCTTAAGAACTATTACTGCCTCTTGTAAAATCTGTCAAAAGTTAGATCCCAGTTCCAAATATCAGAGTCAACCTTTTCTCACTCTCCCGGCTAGGAGCTCCCTTTCAGGGACTGACTGGCAACTCGATTTTACCCATAAGCCTACTGCCAGATGAGTCAAATACCTCCTTGTCCTAGCGGATTCATTCTTGAGCTGGGTGGAGGCTTTCCTGTTTGTTTGTTTGTTTGTTTGTTTGTTTGTTTGTTTGTTTGTTAATGGGCTCAGACCGTCTCTGACCTCCTTCTCCAGGAGATTATGCCCCGATTTGGATCCCTGCCTCTCTCCAGTCTGTAATGGCCCAGAGTTTACCTCCCAGATTTCTCAAACCTTATCTGAAGCTTTTAACATCCCTAAGCATTTCTATATCCCTTACAATCTTCAATCCTCAGGGAAGGTAGAATGGACCAACCACTCCTTTAAAAATATACTTACTAAGACGTCACAGGAACTTCACCTTTACTGGGTATAACTATTGCCTCTGGCTCTTTTCAGGCTCTGGGCTCTTTCCACACAACCCCTTTAAATTATACTGTCTGAACTCGTGTCTGGGAGGCCAGTCCTAACCCCTGGCCTCCTATTCAAACCTTTGCCGCACCCTGACCACCCGCTCACCCCCTTACTCTATCACTCTGTTCTCTCCTATGGAATTGGACTGACCATTCCCTACCCAGGCCATCCCCAATCAACAGCAGGGATCATGTCCTTCTTCCACCCAAGGCCAGCACCCCTCCCTACTTCCCCCTAAATGGCATGGACCCTTCAAGGTAATTCTTGTGACCTCCATAGCTGCTAAGCTCAAGATCTTTCCTCACTGGATTCACTTATTTCACCTAAAACCTTTTACCTCACCCCCACCCCAGGGTCATTCCTCCTCATACTCAGTGATGCAAACAGGGCCCTGCTCTCGTAAGTTCTAGAGGACACAGAGATCAACTGCCTGTTTCCAATTCCAGAAGAATAAGGCTTCATCCCACAACTGTACTCAACTCCACTGGATTGGGGACCCCGTATGTTTCTCTTCTTGATTCCCCCTCTGCTTTCTCCTGTCTCTACTGATCACATTCTGCTTCATCAGTTCCCACCCCGTCCCCCATCTCTAATAACATATTCAAATTTCGAATTAACTACTCAGCTCACTATTACAGGACCACCATCAGCCACAGAGCTGGAGATGCAAGGACCATCAAATATACCCCGGTGGTAAGAAACAGTAACACTCCAGAATTATTCATACCCCCAGACTCCAAAGGTTCTGGACTCTGCAAAACAGACTTTAATACATCAAAGTTTGTTATTGTTAGCTGCCCTCACCAATCCATCACCTGTGTCTCCTGGATGCTGAAGGGATAGGGTGATAATGAAAGGAAACAGACGCCTTAAGGTTTGTCTCAGGTGAAGACAGGAAGCCTAATTGATAATAACAGAAACAAATAAAGCAGTTCCAGATTCCTCTCTCTCTTTGCTACATGACTCCATAATTTTAACACTAACCAATAAAATTCTGATATCAGAGTACTCAACACTATAATATCATAGCTACAAGCTCAGGATCTTAAATTCCCTTTGGTCACTTCTTAATATGTCTAAATTTGTCTCCTTCGTAAACTTAAAAATTCTTCTGAGCTCCAGGGAGTTGACTTGGACCCACCTAGACAGGTCAGATCCACTTCAGACAAGTATCATTCAAACTTTCCTGGTCTTGTGACCCCCTCCCTCACCCTTAGGGTCCTGCCTCATCTCCTCCCCCACCAAGTACCAGGATCTAAGAAAAAATATTTTCTAAACTTCAACTTCTGCCTCACCGGCATCTTGTAAGATTCAAGCAACAATGGATGATTGCCCAGGACTCAAAACAGCAGTGAAGACAATCAGCTACCTCAGGACAACCAGCTACCTTGGAAAAAGTCCCCTGCTCACCAAAAATTAACTGATGCCCACCAAGTCAGCTGGGAGCAGTTCCAAGAGACACTGTGCCCCAATTCTCATTCACCCACCTCCCCTAATCCCTTACTTTTTATAATAACAAACAGGGTGGAATGTTACTATTCCTAGCCACTTCTGGAGTCACATGACCACACATGTGGTGTCAGCAGTCAGGCAAAATGCTTAGTCACTCCAGGGCCTTACATCCTATGTAATCTGTGCACAGCATGGTCAAGTAATCTGCACAAAGTGTGGTCACGTAAGCCATGTGCATGTGTGGCATAGCTATATAAGCCCATATGTGCATCCATGAGGTGACCTATAAAAGCAGACTCCACCCTGCCCTCTCTGCACATTTCTCTCTGGGAGGCCTACTCATGTCTATCCCTTCCTTTCCCTATTAAATTCTCTTATAGTGGGTTCTGTTGTACCTCGTGTTCTCCTGTGCCCTGTAAACAACACTGGGGACCCAATGCCTCCCTGGGCTGTGGTTATCACTGTAGGGTAAAAGGGCCAGTGAAAGAACACCCTGTCCCTAAGACCAGAGCTAAAAACACATCCTGCCCCTAACCAAGTTCAGGACTTGAAATCCCACAAATCCCTGAGCTTGGCTCAGAGTCTGTCCAGGGTTTCCCCAGCAAAGTGTTAACAGCCCTCGCTCTGGGAATGGTTTCCCTAATGCAAGTGTAAGAACTCTGCTCCAGCAGGGGAGGGGTTTACAGCTCTGCTCTGCTCCAGAAAAAGAGTCATTACAAGAAACCTCACTCAATAGATTTATTGGGAGGGAAAAATCCAGCAGAGTGTTTGCCTCTGCTAGGGTGAAAAGCAGTGACAAACTGGACAGGATACAGAGCTTATATTGTTTCTTGGGGGCGGAGCTTTCCAGCTCTGGGAAACCATTGGCCATCCTGCCCCACCAAGTTCCCAGGAGTCTGTGATTATACACTATGCTAGGACAGCCAAGGACATTTCCTCCCAAAGTCAGTGTCCTTTAGACATGAAAGTTCCTCCAAATGGCTACCAGATGTTCATCTTTCCAGGGACTCAACTAGATAACACACATATACACAGAGAGAAACACAGACACACAGACATATACACACAGACACATACAAAGACATATACACAAAGAGACACAGAGACACAAACACATGCACAACACATGGACACACACACAACACACAGAAACACAGATACAAACACAGAAGCACACAAGCACACACACAGAGAAACACACAGACATGCTGCAAGTCGCAGGAAAATGTAATGGAATCCAGCTTCTATCACAAAAGCTATTACTTGGAAAGATCAAGGACTTTTCCAAAGGGCAATCCATGGCTTAAGAAGTCTTGGTGATATTTTAGCTTTTGTATAGACATATTAGCCAATTCCTGCAATGATTTTCTTATATGCTGTGTATGCTTCCAAGAACTCCTAACAGTGTATTTATCTCATATTCTTCTCAAGCATCCTCGGCCGTAACAGCAAACGGGGCGCAATGTAGCTGTGAGGCAGACTTCCCAGCTCTGGCAGTGACCCCGCCCTGCCAGTGTATGGCGGCATAGGAAAAGAGGAGAAGTTTTGTTTTAGTGACTTAGAGACTCTTTTACCTAACCACGTGTGGGATTGTAGTTTGAGCACATTTATGACAGACTTGTAACATTTCACCTAACCACTTATAAGAATATATTTTGAGCACATAAATTCCCTTTCTGATTTACTCCAGGACTTATCAACCCCACCTCCTCTATTCACATCCCTGTTTCGGATAAAGCTGGCTATCACGGCTCTGGTAGGGAGCTTGGAAGCTTTGCTTGGTATTGGAAGAGTCAGGCTGCCGGTGAGATGGAGGGGAAGGAACCAAGATGGAGAAGAACGAGGATGAAGAAGAGGATGGAAATGGAAAAGAGTTAGAGTTGTGAGAGGACAGGAGGAGAAGGGACAGAGAGGAGCTGAGTACAAGAACAGAAAAGAAAACGTGTAGAGAGAAAACTGACTCAAAAAAGAATAAAGCATATGAACTAAAGGGTTACATGTACATAGATTCATTTAATGTCATCAAGGATTAGATTATCAGCTGGTCACAGATTCTTTCTGGACCCTGAAAGGGCTTTCAAGGGTCTGGACTCCCATAGTCCCTGTTACAGACACACATACAAAGACACACATTCACACAGAAATACATGCCCAGAAACACACACACATTACACAGACACAGAAGCACACACACCATGCAGATACACACAAGACGCATATACACAGACACACAAACACACACACTCAACACACAGAAACACACAGGCACACACAAAGACATACACTCTCACATAAACACACAAATACATATTTAACACAGAAACATACAAGCACACACACACCACACAGACACAGAAACACACACCATGCAGACACACAACACACATACTCAGACACACACACATGACACAGACACACAAGCGCGCACACACAGACACACACAGTCCCATACACAGACATAGACACACTCACACACCACACAGACACATACACACACACCCACACACACCACAGACACAGACAAACACACAGCACACAGACACAGGCACACATAGACACACAGAGACACATACACACAGAGACACACACACTCACATACCAACAGACACATAGACACATATTTACACGCCCCAAATTCCCTCATGCTGCCCTCCACAGCACAGGGACATAGGAGGTCCCTCTCCCTGCCCATCACTCACCCGCACAGGTGCCCAACAGCTCCTCCAGGAGCAGGTACTTTAGTGACAGCTGGACTAGGACTAGGGCTCTGGGTTCCAAGGACAACATCGTCTTCATCTGCCTTCATGAATCATCTGAGTTCTCTGCAGATTCAAAGCCAGACACGCTTCTCTTCTGGGTCCACCCAGCCCCGGATGCCAACAACTGAAGTGTGTCACAGAGGGCGGAGCAGATCTGGCAGCAGGTGAACAGCTGGCTGGTGGGAGAACAGCTGGTGTGGGGCTCGGTGGAAGGTGAGAGTCGCTGATAGAGTGAGAATGCTGTGGGGTCAGGCAGCCCTGATTCAAATCCTCTACTTCCTCTCCCTGAAAGCATTAAAGCTTTCCTTTACAGCTATCTCCACTGCATCTACAGGAAGGTTTCTTCTTCTTGACTGTTTGTTTGTTTGTTTGTTTGTTTGTTTGTTTGTTTGTTGAGACAGGGTTTCTCTGTGTAGCTTTGGAGCCTGTCCTGGAACTCAGTCTGTAGACCAGGCTAGCCTCGAACTCACAGAGATCTGCCTGTCTTTGTCTCCCGAATGCAGGGACTAAAGGCGTGTGCCACCACCTCACGCTCTTCTTGATGTTTTAATCAGGAGTCTGGAATACATATAAACCCCTCATCAACCAGAAGCCTTGTTTCATTATCCACTCCCCATATCAAGATTCCATAGACCACTCAAATGTAAATACATACACATGCCCACTCAGGACTCAGAAAATTTCTGCTAGGAATTCCCCTTCTGCAACCACAAAAACAAATGATGTAAGCTCCTTATTAATAACTTATTGAGAATAAAGCCATGATGAGAAATTTTGAAACAATTTAGGTAACTATTGTTTGACCTTTGGGTTTAGTTATGCTGCTGTCTGGATTGGGTTTAGCCCCTGGGGCTGAGCTCACCACCCACTGCTGCTGAGCAGATCCTGCCCAGCCTGGACTTAAGTATTTTTTTTTTTTTTTTTTTTTTTTTTTTTTTTTTTTTTTTTTTTTAAAAGGTTTATTTATTATACAGTGTTCTGTCTCCACATATCCCTGCAGGCCAGAAGAGGGCGCCAGATCTCATTACAGATGGTTTTCAGCCACCATGTGGTTGCTGGGAATTGAACTCAGGACCTTTGGAAGAGCAAGCAGTGCTCTTAACCTCTGAGCCATCTCTCCAGCCCGGACTTAAGTATTTTTAAAGCAGAACAGTAAAATTAAAAATATATTTTATACGCACGCGCGCGCACACGCGCGCACACACATACACACACACACACACTCACACACATTAGGAGAGACACAAGGCAGCTCATATAATTTCTCACTAGTTTAGAAACTCAGGGAGTAAGGGTGGTGCTGCACACCTTTAATCCCAGATTTTTTTTAAATAAATGAATTTATTTATTTATTTATTATGTATTTATGTGTCATTTATTTTACTTCCCTGGCACACCTATCTCCTAGGGGAACAGAGAAAGTTGTGAAGCCAGCACAGCTGCTTGACAAAGCTCCAGCAAAGCTGAGCCACACACTATGACTGATAGTTGACCTGAGGCCCTTTACTTTTGATTGGAATCTCTGTCTGTTACACTCTTAGCAGGCTATTACTGTAATGCTTCACCCATGTCTTTTCTGGGGAAATTATTTCTGTATCTTCCTGAAGAAGTCCTGAATGTACGACCCCCTGCTTTCAAGGAAATAACCTTAGTTGATCACACTTGAGAGTCTTCTCTGTGCCTTGGAGGTTGGTATCTGCTCCTACACAAACTCAAGAACAAAACAGAACCATATAAATTCAGAGGAGGCTGACAAGGTTGAGCAGGATAGGAGAATTGACAGCAGATCAGTGTAGCTGGACTTTCTCCGGTCCTTCCATGCCCAGCAGTCCGGAAGAATCTCTCACACCTGAGGTCCCACAGCCACCTATAAAATAATTATTCAGAGGCTTATATTAATTACAAACTATATGGCCTATGGCTTCAGCTTCTTGCTAGCTAGCTCTTTCATCTTAAATTAAACCATTTCTTTTTTTCTTAAGAAATTTTTTATTCATTTTACATACCAATCACAGACCCCCCCCTCTTCCCTCCTCCTGCCCCTCCAGCCTTCCCTCCCTCCCATATGTGCAAGTGCCCTGCTGTGTCCAAAAAAAGACTGTTCCCTTATAGTCATCCACTGGCTCTGGGATCTTTCATCCCTTAGTCCATAATTTGGGTAAATGAGAAAGGAGTGATGGATCTAGGAGGAGTGAGGTGAGTAAATTATATGACTATCATACATTTTTATAATTAAAAATGATAAAAATGAGACAGAAAGAGAAAAGAAGAAAAAGCTCCATATAAACCTACAATCTTGTAAACAAACTTAAAAGTTGGAAGGGAGGTACCCTACATGGCTGGAAAAAGCTCTCCTGGAAGTGATGGGTTATAGAACAAAAACTCCAGGGCCAGGAGGAGGATTGCTCATGATTGGTTGATCAGGGAGCCCCTATGGACTCAAGAAACAACACAGGCTCTTGTCCTTGCTCTTGGTTGCCCAAAGAACTAGGTGATAACACTTGATTGCCAAAGGCATCACACATCATAGTCACATTATACAGAGCCATGGAGATGGAGCTGTGTCTGAAGCCTCCTTCCTGCCTGGTAGCTTTCATAGTGCCAGAAGATGCCATGCAGGCTGTTGGGGAACAAAGTCTTACCCAGCTGTGAATCCAACTATGATACCAACCTGCCAAGAAAGATGTTCAACAGTGGCACAGATGGTATTCGGTAACCAACATGCTCTCTGATTGGATTGTTGGATTGGAGGTCCACTCCACAGGAGGGATTCCATATGTGGTACCATAAACCCACTCCAAATCCCATGGCATGGAAGGTCATAGGGCCTGGGGGTGTGGTGTGTGTGTGTGTGTGTGTGTGTGTGTGTGTGTGTGTGTGTGTGCGAATGCTAACTTCTGTCGTTATTCAAATCCACAAAGCATTGGACTACTTTCTAAATAAGAATGTTTATACTCACAGACAGTAAACACTCTTCTTGGCTTTAATCACAGAGTCTTCTCTTCAGTTGAACCACACTGAAGGCAGAGAAGAAGGAGCAGCACAAGGTGCTGAGAACAGCAATTGTTTAGTGCTCAGCACTAGATTTGACACTTCTGTGTCTTCTCCTGGGTTCAGGGAACATTGCCAAAGAGGGGATATAAAGATTGTCAGAGCTGGAAGATGGGGAGAAGCACTGCAAAATGCCATCTTCTGTGCAGGACAGTCACTGCAGGCAGGAGCTTACAACTCTGGATAACTGTGCTGGGTCTGCACAAGAATGGGCCCATCAATGCCAGGAAAGGATGGAGAGGAATTTAGGGGGGTTCTGTCTCTCATTTCTAAATTGTTCCTTTGGATAAATTTGGGGGAAGGCAGAGTCAGTGACTTCAGCTCTGTGCCATTGGTGGCCTCTCAGGCTACAGTGAATAGTCCCAATGCAATGGTCACACAGATGCACCAGATTAAACTGAGCAGGTCATACAAGAAAGCCCTAAACCATGAACCCAGGAAAGGGACAAGTAGGGGGGAGGAGGTGTTTATGGTGGTAGGTGGAAGATTAGGGAGAATCGGGGAAGGACATAGCAAGAATTCATTATATACCTGTGTGAAACCATGAAAGAACCAATTTAATTGCCGGAGACGGCATCTGAAAACCCTGAGGTGTTGCCAATGGAATCTGTGCTGGTACCCGAGATCCCTCCAGGGCTGCCCCACCTCATATTCTACTAAGCCTGCCTTCTGTGGGTCAAGGAGAAAACAACCCTTGTGTTCTGAGGGCCGACTTTATGGCGTATGCATGTCATGTTCTCATTCATCCAACAGTTACCGGTTCTTGTAATCCTCCTACTCTATTTGTTCTTTATGATCTTCTTTCTCTCTCCTGCAGTGGTTTCCATGAAATTAGAAATGATATTGAGGTTGTGACAATGGCAGGAGTTAAAGTTGTTCTGCAGGTCATGGGAAAAACCCAGAAGGCTGGTGGCAGAAAACTGTAGATGGAGTGACATATAGATGGGATAAAAGACAAGAGTTTTCCAGAACTACTTAGAAGACAACTTGATGATTTACAGAGAGATGAAGACGGACTTAAGCTGAGAGGAAGCTGGTAGTCTGGTACCTTAAACCATTGCTTGTATTTCTGTGCTTTCTGAGAAACTGCAAGTAGATGGCCTCTGGGGGTGATAACCTCAGATGTTCTGATAATTATTAACCTGTGAAAGAATGAGCTGGTATGCTTTGGCTTTATTCCTAGGAACTTCTATGAGCGGTCAATGGGCACGGGGTATGTGGTGATATTTTAATTGTGCTGAAATGTGATTTTATTTGTTTGTTAATAAATAAAGTTTGCCTGGAGATCAGAGGTCATATCGAGCCAGAAACAGAAGTCAGGTGGTGGTAGTCTATGCTCTTAATTTGATCACATGACAGGCAGAGTCTCTGTATGGTCAAGGACACAGCCAAGCCTGGTGACATGAGCCTTTAATCCCAGTACCAACCATAGAGACCTGGAGGTCTGTATAGACAGGCAGTGACGAGGAAGTCATGTGGCTGGGCTTAGAGCCTATGAGACGGCAGAACAGGAAAGCAATAAAAGCACAGGTTAGACAGGAATAAGCTCTCTCATGTGGGAAACTATGGCTTGGTGGTAAGCTAAAGGGTAGTCAGTGGCTCTTCGCTAATTCTCTCATCTCTTCAGCTATTACCCCTGTATTTGGCTCTGTGTTTCTTATTTACTAAGACTGTTTAGAATTTCATCTACATTTGGTGCCCACATGGCAAGAATTCATTTAAAAAAACGTAGGTGTCCTCACAGGCCAGGGGTTACAGCCTCGGCTCGGCCAGAGTTTACAGGCCCCAGGCCCAGCCGGAACAATAAGTGATCTGGCTGCACGTGGTCAGAGCTGCACTCGACCATAGCTACAAGCAGTTACATGCAGCTGGAGCTGCTTGTGGCCAGATTGCCAACTCACAGTGGTTGGAGCTTAAGGGAGCCAGAGCTCAGGCCTGAATTGGCTCAAGCCAGAGCACTGGCTGGACTATAGCTTTTAGCTTTTTTGTCTTCTCCTGGTAGGTAGTAGGATCTCTCTCTCTCT